TCCCTACGATATCCGTCACGATGATTTACCATTCGATGTGAATCATTAACACCGACGATATCCGTCACGATGATCATTGTTATTACCATCCGACAATAATCAACTCGTCTTTCATATGATTGTAATAATTGAGGTCAGAATTATTTTTAACACGTGTGTCCTTTGACCGTCTTGTTAGGATTACGTCCGTAGTTTAGTTAATCCTCGGCTGTTGTTTGGAACTTGTTTTACAGCTTGTTAGTCCGAAGTAAAGTGTCTTGTTCAAAAACACAACGACTAAAGCTAGCCGTCAACTCTCGAAACTTTTAAATTACGAATCCAAAGCACTGACCACTAGGTCACGCTTCCCCTAGTAACAGCTAAAGTAAAACTATGAAACGATAGTAGAACAGCCTGTAGAAAATACCAGTTTTTGCGGTCAGTTTTCTTTTTTTGCTTGCAAAAAAAGACACCTTGTTTGAACATAACTATATAGCATATATTATTGTCAGGTGGTGTATAGATCGTCGTCAGTTTTTTTTAAATATCATATATTGAGTAGTGAAATGTGCATATTTTAGGGTTTTTTTGGTGAAATATTTTATTTTCTGTAATCAGTGATGCAAACTTTTATGGAAATAGCCCCCCTCCCCCTTTCTGTACTTGAAACAAATGTAAAGGATTAAACTAGATCATGCTAACTACCATTATAAACAACTGATATTCTAGAAAAAGAAGAAAAACGCGCGCTTTTGAAGGAACAAAGCAATTCAACATTCATCGTTTGTTATGTTCTGTACTGAGTATAAGTCACGTAAATCTCTCTCCGGTATGAAGCGGTAAATCTTTCCCTGGAAATAAGCTGTGATAATACGGTCACAAAAATAGAAAAGTATTCCATTCATGGGGTTGATAGGTCTTCTCCTATGTGCGTCCAGCTGCTGCAGATACTGTAGCTGATATCCCTCGTGCACGCCTCCCCTCTTTCCGTACGTTCCTGTTATGATACCAAAGAGTTGTTCGTCTTCCAGCTCTGCTGCGCGTGGCCGCCACGTGCGGTACCGAGAAAGGCGATAGGCTCAGCAGATGGGCAGCTGTTGTCTGCTGATCTAATGTGTGTGTGTGTGTGTGTGTGTGGATTATATGTAGTGGCTGATAAAGGGAGGTCGGTCTTCACATACCGATACTCGACTGGTCGTGTTGAGGGGCAAGGCGACAGATAACCGCTCGTCGTGCCCTTGCAAAGTCAATGTAGCCCATCAAGGTCAACTTCTAAAATAAGACGCGGTAATAATCATTAAGACCTTTTAAAAATGTACTATGAAAAAACAAAACACGAATGACAGACTAATAGTCGTGGAGATTTAAATGTGGAATATTGTATGCTGTATGACATATCAACAGTAGAAGTTCATGAGTGTAGTATTATTTCTGCTACGAGTTTCCTGTGGCAGCTTTCAAAGTAGGATGAGGTACTCCGCCCCGCTAGTTGCCACTATGTGGCGCTCCAGACGTTAGGCTACACCTACTGGGTTTTGAATGTTTTATGTGACCATTCTGATCGGTCCACTCACCAGAGGCGCGTGCACTT